ACTTTGTATCACGCAAACGGCTGCACCAATCAACATGAAATTTGGCAGGAATGTAGATGAGTCCCACCTACACTGAGCCAGCTAACGGTTTTACGATAAACCCCATATTTGAGGAGGGGGCTCCATCTGAAGAAGTGGTGTCTGGACATACAAAAATGTTTATAACTCAAAAGCTATTCAACATAGGAGCTTCAGATTTGTTTTGTTGTTTAGCTCTGATGAAGGGCTATCCATTGGGCCCACCAATGAGTCTCACCACCCCCAAGACCCCCACCCAAAACAATTAATCTGTTCTGGTGAGTTCTGAGTTCTGGTGCACTGATGCTTTTGCGTGCATGCATGGCTCATATACAGTATGCTACCACTGTACGGTATCTAGTTTGGGAAATGAGATGCCCCTGCATCAGTTTAGGTTCAACTAGCTTAAACATTTTAGTCATTGCAGTTCTTTTTAGTGGGAGGCTCTCATTGATGTCTTTGTTAGATTTAAATTATAACGTCCCTTTTTCTCTAACCAGGCAGTGAATACTTTAAATATAGCAGCAGAGTTAGCGATTTCCATTCACACCGTAAGTTCAACTCTATTAGACAGCCATCAAGTGGGGGAAAAAATTCACATCTCGTCTCTGAGAGATTATTCCACTCACACTCCTCATGCCTGCATTACTCCTTCTGGATTTGTATCTGTGAAATCAGGCCTTTACAGCATCRTGCGTCCCATTTACATATTTGCAAACAGCAGAGGCTGAAAATAAAACACGTACAATTTCCTTTTCCAAGAACAGAAAGAAAGATGTGATTAGAGGAAGTGTYATGGAAGTGCAATTAGAAGTGTAATTCATTCTGTTCATCAACTGCCAGAACACTACAAGATACGCTCATCTGCCAAACACCCACAGGACCCCGTTTTATCTACAGATCTGATCTTTTCAGGCTTATTAGTGACTTCACCCCAAAAATAAAATCCACCAAGATGTTTCATTTTGTATATGTGAAGCGCTGTTTAATTGATGGCAAACGCTTCCCATTATTCAGTCATGTGGATGATGTGGTTATTTTTTATTATTTTGCATCCTACATTCTTCGGGATATTAGAAATGTAGAGTATATCAAATATACAACTATTTACCTGAAAACGAGAGTCACTAAAATAAAATATTTAGTGGGAACATTCAGCTGATAAAACCCATGAATACCTAATCTGGTCTCTTTAAATGCTTTTTCCTTTCCAGGTCATGGTGGAGCTGCTGTCTCCAGCCGTTATTAGATGAGTGTGTGTGGTGGGGTGTACTCCCAAAGTCATTTTTTTTAAATTCCATATGAAACGTTTCTATTTTTCTATCTTTTTATTATTATTATTCATTAATAATATTTTCACCAACCTCTTTTTTTTACTTGAAGGTGTTCATTGCAAAAAATGGGGACAGGTGATCCTGGCGGAACCTAAACATACATTCCCCATATTTCTCTTTATTTTCTATTTATTCTAAATTTGACCCATTTAGTTGACCTAAAACTCATTTGCAACCTTGCCGCTTTTGAGCGTTTGATTTGTTACAGATGCCAGAGGATATTTATGATATAGGCTAAATTGAAATCTTGGGTTTTCACACCTGATTGTACCTCTCACACCTCCAACCACCTCCCCGCTGACTGAAGTTTTCACCCGTGGGCTAATGTCCCAATTCTCTCCACAGCCGTTTCCAGCCTTTGAACTCCAGGTGCTGATATAGAATCCCACCAGTTTTATAAAAGAAAACTGAAGTAACACAAAGTATACCTTAGATCATTTTACATTACGGYAAACTGACATTGTTTCCAGTGATTTTTTTTTAATGAAAACTACATTAAAATGGATTTTTCTTAGCTTTATATCATGTTATAATGTTATTCCCTCATCGAAAACATGCAGAGTGTTTCGTCCTGATGCATCTCAGTAATCCAGGTAAAAAAATCGAAAGGAAAAAAAATTGTATAGATCCTCTGGACGGGTTCTTCTTTAATGAAACGTTTCGTCTCTCTTCCAAGAGACTTCTTCAGTCTGAGAGTTTCAGGCAAAATTCAGGCTTTTATGTCCTGCCTCCAGGTGACTGATACTCGCATCACATGACCATCGTTCAGTATGAGTCACCTGTGAACGATGGTCATGTGATGTGAGTATCAGTCACCTGGAGGCAGGACATAAAAGCCTGAATTTTGCCTGAAACTCTCAGACTGAAGAAGTCTCTTGGAAGAGAGACGAAACGTTTCATTAAAGAAGAACCCGTCCAGAGGACCTATACAATTTTTTTTTTCCTTTGATTTTTTACCTGGATTACTGAGATGCA